TGCGTTCAGATTGCTGGACTAACCACCCAAAAATTATTTAAAAAAAAAAAAAAAAAAAGTTTAAAAAAATGCAAAAGAAAACAGTAGAACCAGAAAAGAGTATTTCTGACAGAGTAATCCAATCTTCCTGGCCAAATGTTGACCTGAAAGTCTGGGCCCAGGGAAACTGCCTCACTAGAGAGACTGGCCACTGAAAAGTAACTCCTAAGGGTGGAAGCCATGCTTGGCAAAATTTAAAATGGGCATAAAGCCAGTGGAATATCAACTTTCACTTGCAAAAAGATGGATTAGAAAACTCTTAAAGTTTCCAAATATCAAATATTGGCCACGATGTAGAGAAGCAGATTTTCTCAAGCTCTGCTGGTAGGAATTGGTCTGGCTTCTCTGTTTTTCAGGGTTTTTTTTTAATTGGTAAAATTTTATTAAAACTCTTCAACGTCAAACTCCCCCTTTGGGAAAAGTTCTACAGAAATAAGCACCAGTACATCTGAGGATATGCGTTCAACCAAGGAAAGAGGTTGATTAAAGTCTGGGGTCCCATCCCCTGCAGTGAGACACTGATAAAAGAATGAAATAGACAGGAATGTACCCACACTGGGAGATCAGAGGCATATTGTGATGNTTTTATTAAAACTCTTCAACGTCAAACTCCCCCTTTGGGAAAAGTTCTACAGAAATAAGCACCAGTACATCTGAGGATATGCGTTCAACCAAGGAAAGAGGTTGATTAAAGTCTGGGGTCCCATCCCCTGCAGTGAGACACTGATAATAAAAGAATGAAATAGACAGGAATGTACCCACACTGGGAGATCAGAGGCATATTGTGATGGGAGAAGATTAAATTAACATTGGTCACCGGGGGTGGGGGTGGGTGCTGAGAATGGAGGAAAATGTAAAAGGCTTTTCTTTATAGGCTTCTCAGTTTATCTTATGACCACCTGGGCAGGGCCCTCTGAATGGAGCAATGGGAGCGGGAGGTAGCCGGTATCCATGGAGCAGACTCGGCAACTGAGGGAAAGTCCAGGGTGGTAGGCTGGCATAATTGCAGGGTGGGCCCTGGTCTGAAACAAGTGTCTTTATTGCTCCTACCATACAAATAGGAGGAAAAGAGAAAGGCCAGAGGGGATGGGGGAGAATCATCAGATAAACAACGTACATACACAAAAAGGAAAAAACCCCCACCCCACGATGCCTTTCTGTGAACTGCCTAGTACAGGAGATGGGGTGGGGAGATCAAAACCACAAAAACTAAATTCCAAACACCCAGAGATGTTGGGGGAGGGGAGAAGAGACGTGGGCAGGGCAGCAAGGGGCTCCTACGTGGGGTCTTCTCACTGGGTCAGCACCCCTCCCTGCACGCGGTGAAATGCTCAGACCAGGGATGGGAGTCTGTGCCCACACAAACAGTGCATACCAGAGGGCTGGGACACACCGCCCTTCCACAAATACACGACACATGCACACACACACACACCCATGTGTGTCACATTTCAGACACACAAGAAGGCCTGCTGACACACACGTGTACCCACAGCACTGCCGGACTCACATTCACCTTAAGGCTGCAGAATGTGGGACCCTGGAGAGGGGAGTGGTGAGGTATCCTGGGATCCTCCTTTCTCAGAGGCCCCTCACCCCAATACATACCAGAGATGCCCACCCCCTCCCTAACCCAAGTCCACGGGGCCCAATACTGTCTGGGTGTGAGATGTTTAACAGGCGAGGCTGGTACCCCTCCACCCTAGGCAAGGAGAAGTAGACAGTCTCAGACCCCATTCTCCAACAGGGCCAGGGCCAGGCCCTGAGTCCAGCTGGAGGTAAGGACAGCTGGAAGGAAGCCCTGGTAAGGCACGGGGCTGGGGGCTGGGCAGGCTAGCCCCCAAATGTTCCTCCTTTCTCATCTACATCCAAGCCCAGGCTGTCATAGCGGTCCAGAAGTGTGCTTGTGATGGTCTGGGCAGTGAACTCATCGTCCATGTACCTAGTGTCAACCTCGGATGTGACCTGAGGCTTGAAGGGTGACAGGAGCTTCTTTTATACCACATCCTGCCAGCTGATGCTGAGGAAGAGCCTGTGCTCCATGACCTCCTTGGCATCACTGGGACCCCCACCGAGCCTGGGCAGAGAGGGCTATCGGCACCTGCCTCCCAGAGCAGCCGGGTCCTGGGAGACGGGCTTTCAGCACAGGTGGGCCTGACCCTGTGACATGCAGGCTCTGCACAGCCTTCCGTGATTCTGTCCTGGCTTCTTTGGAAAGCAATCTGGTAGTGTCTACTGAAATTTAAAATGTGGACACCCGGGCTGGCCCGATGGCGCACTCGGTAGAGTGTGGCACTTCGGAGCGCGGTGACCCTCCCGTCGAGGGTTCGGATCCCATATAGAGACCGGTCCGCTCACTGGTTGAGCGTGGTGC